AGTGACCTAAGAGTGAGAGCGGTATGGAACCGTTGAAGCAATTCACCGAACACAGTTAGAGCTGCCTGTGTGACTTGGCATGGTGACCCTTAAAGTCTCCTGACGTCTCCGATTGCGATTCTGATGATGACCCATTGTCTATGCTTGTGAGCGAGTCAAAAGGTATCTTTTTTCCTTCTTGATTGTTTCCCAATAGTTAAAATTTAAGATATTCTTAATTGTTTTTAATGCTTAGGTCTCTTAGTTAAGGGAATGAGTGGTCCTATTGAGGTCAGCATTAATTTTTTTAAATCCTTATAAAAAAATTCCAATACTAAGGTGATACCACATAAAGTATTTAATTTATTAAGAGACTCTCTAAAATTGGGTACCAAAACTACACATAATAATTTTGCCCAATCATAATGCACTGTAAAGTTTCCCTTTCATAATTGAAATTCTGATAATGATTTTTTATTGATTTTGACTTGGACTTTTTTTATTATGATTTTTCTTTCTCTTATTTCCTTTTACTTTCAAGCAGTCTAGATCAAGGATCTTCTCTGCTTCAACCACTATCGCTTGGATGACATTATGTGTGAAGAAACTTGAAGGACTTGTGTTGAAGGGCATGCTTGAGAAACTAGAATCAATTACATTGATCGTTTTGGCAATGCTTCAATGTTTCAATACCTCAATCTCTCTTTTATACTGTTTGATTTTAAACATTTTGAATATCATAAATAAAGCAAACTCCACTCATAATTGTAATTGTGTGTACTAGTAATTACAATGAAATGGATTGATTATAAAATCAATGAATTGATTTAAAGCAAACTGGTAACATTTTCCATGAGTTCTGAAACAATTAACTGAATGGTCGTACAGGTGTCAGTTTTCTGTTACAGTATTGTAATGAAATCCTGCAAACATAAATCTTTAATATTCAAATGTATAGCTCAGAACTGCTATTTATCAGGTATACCTACCTCGATCAGTAATGCATATTAGAGTTTTCGATTCCAGTTCCATGAATCCTCATATTGTATCTTTGTGTTGAAGAATTTGTTTATCCATTTTCTTTAAATGTTTGTATTCACAGGGGTTGATGCCTTCCTTAGAACATGAATATAAGTTACATTTCAACAATTGGTTTTTCTCTCAAAACACAATGTTACTAGTTCACATTTAATGTTTTAATTTATTACTTCTATAGTCATTCTCATCATAATTGTATTTGGTACTTCAAACTATCCTATAATGATCATACAATATAATGTTGCTGTTTGATGAGAAATGAAATTGTTTAGTCAAATTGATATTTCCATGTTTATCATGCATTGTTTAGCTGATAATAGTTTAGTCAGAGATTACGTGTTTACCTGGGTGAAGACAACCTTTAAGCATTGGTAAACTTTGTAGCGTTTGAGACTGTGTACTAAATTTCATTGAAATACCTTAGAAAGAGATTGTGTAAACTGACTTGGTTCTGATACTCTACTCAAAAGATATTTATGAAAAACAGTGATGAACAAAAAGTAACGATGATGATTATATTAGTCATTTTTCCCATTGAAAAACTTCATGATACATGTAGTACATGTTTGTCGAGCATTTTGTATGTCACATGTGGCATTTACTCGCTACGATTGCTGAATAAACATGATAACCAAGTCCTATATAAAGAATTAGATAAAGACATTTTAGCATATTTACAAGTACTGTATAATGAATGAAATAACCTTCGTATTCCGTGGATGTATAACTGATGAGTCTTTTCCACAAAACCCTAAATGTACATTTTAAAATGCAATACAGTATTGATGATAATTGATGATGATATGTTTGGTATGAATTATTTAATAGTTTTGAATTTATGCTCCATTTTCCACTTGCTGTTCTGGTTCCAAATGTTTTAATTAAAACTGCTCAGTCAAAATTCATTTTCTGTGTTTATATTGCAGAGTTGAGTAGTTAACTACAAATTATGGTCAATTATCAATACTGAATCTTTTTCCTTCATTCAAAAATATTTCTTAACATATTTGCTTTATTTCCTATCTGAAAAAATATATTTAGCTAGGCCCCTCTCTAAAATTTTAGAAATTCCTCATAGTAATAGAGTAGCAAAAGCCCTGATATCACTCGCATGAATTTCAACAAGAAATGTCAGAATTTGTGTGATATTAAGGGGAGATGGAGGGGGTAAAGAGAGAGAGAGAGAGAGAGAGAGAGAGAGAGGGGGGGGGGGGGAGAGGGGGAGACTACTTGAAGTGTTCTTAAGTGGAAAGTATATAGTAACTTTAGTGCAATCTTTAGTCCCGATACATACAATGTACCTGATAATTAAACCTTAAATAATATTAAATACATATCCATTTTTAGCTTAAGATTAAAGAGAATAGCTTATTAATCATTTTAAAAGCACTTAGTGCCAATATCCATCTGTGCTATTGATAGTTAATTTATTGTGAGCCGTAGCTTCGTGAACAAAAACTGACATCATACATCTAACATCATAATTATACAAAGAAGAAAAGGTGCTCTTATTTTATCCATACATATATTAAACAAGTAATTTTGCCGTATTTCAGTGTCTATCTCATGAAATTGCTTCACACAATAAAAATCCCATATGTTTTATACGCGCTCGGCTACGAGCCGTCACTTCGTGAAAACAAAATACAAGCGTTCTGCGTGATTTGTGTTTTCACGAAATGACGGTTAAGTTAAAAGTTCATACAGAGACATTCAGTTTATTCTTATCAATAAAAAAAAAATAGCTACCAAACGAGGAAGATGTACTCTATCTCTCAGTTCGCATTATTTTATCTGTACATCAATTAAATAAAACATAATGCCGTTTTTAGTGTCCATTTCGAGAATTCCATCCACAAGGGAAAAGTCCCATACGTTTTACGCGCGCGGCTACGTACCGTCACTTCGTGAAAACAAAATCAAAGCGTTCTATGCAATTTGTGTTTTCACGAAATGACGGTTGTGTTAACAGTTCACACAGAGAAATGAAAAAGCAGCTACAGAAAGAGGAAAATGTACTCTTTCTCACAGTTTGAATTATTTTATCTGTACATCAATTAAACAAAACGTTTTGCCGTATTTAGTGTCCATTTCGGGAATTCCATTCACGAGAGAAAAATCCCATATGTTTTACGCGCGCGGCTACGTACCGTCACTTCGTGAAAACAAAATCACAGCGCGTCCTTGAATTTCGTGTTTTCACGAAGTGACGGTAATGTTTACAGCTCATTTCCCCCCAAAATATAAGAAATTATGGAAATATTTAAACATAGAACTAAACATTAAGATATTTTCTATCCCAGGATATAAAATTTATTTGCCTTTGATACATTAAAGAGGTTGAGATTATGGTTTGAAACTTTGAAAGCGATTTATTCAAAACTAACTTTCTTTTAGTTGCGCGCTCTACCGTCACTTCGTGAAAACAGGGACGAATTAATGTTATTTTATTCGTACAATCTGTCTTTAATTCTTTCTTTTACTCTCTCTATCTTTCTATCTTAACACTAGGTAATGACTGTCATGTTCGAGGGATCTACTTTAACTACTGACGTGACGAGCGGACTATGGTCCTGCCTGGGATCATTTTCGGAGCTACGTATTCTCACCATCTCAGACTCCTCTCTCAGTTTCCCTCCATCTCCTCCCGAGCTTCCACCAGTCACAAAGCTATCAGCCAAGAGAGTGACGTCACAAAGCTACGAAGGTCTGCTCTCATCGCTACCTGGCTTGAGAGATATCGATATCACTATCGATGATGCAGAGAGAGACATACCTCAGATCACGGCTTGTCTTCGTCGGACCGGAGGACAGCAGCTCACACGCATCAAGCTTACAGCACCGCCATCACTCCCATCAGAGAAGCAGAGTGTATCGAGAGAGACGATGAGAGGGTTGGGTGTACTGATCAGAGAACAAGCCAAGGACCTGCAGCTGCTACATCTGATATGGGTGAAGTGCACAGACGAAGATGACTTGGTTTACCTCATCGAGTGCTGCAGACGGGTGAAGATGATGTCACAGCTGTGGTAGGTTCTTGTTCAAATCTAGTATAAAATAAATTCAAATCCTACTAGATGATTATATTTAGTTACTCTGCAGTAGTAAAGCATAATGCTACGAATGCGTGAAGGGATACAAATGTTAAAACGTAGGTGTAACTTTCAAGTTTTTGACTGGCAGTTAGAATGGCTTTTGATATGTTATTTTATAATTTGTAAGTAGCAATGAATAGAACAATGCCTGTATTGAAAATCCAAAATTGTAATATGCAGTTGAATGTATTACTAAATTAATGTAAGTCCATGTCCCGGGGCTCATGTTGACTTCAGGGCGGTATTTTGAACATTGTTGTAACGTTTGTGTTATCTTTTGTTGTATCTTTTCTCTCGGCATCTTATTGGCCGCGCCTGCGCTCTAAGTTGGTGCGATTGTAATTGTGCGTATTATTGATAAAGAGGCATTTAATCCTCATTTGCATATGCGCACGGGAGATAATATGCCGAGATAATTGGTATTCTGAAAGTTGTTGTATCTTTTATCTTATCTTATCTTGCATGGTATTTACAACAATATTTACAACAGGTAGGGGGTTGTTGTATCTTTCGTGGTGATATAATGGCGGCAATATTTTTTGCCCAATACCAACTTTATCTTATCTTCAGAGATACAACAATATTAGAGATAACACAGGGTTCAGAAACATATCCTTATAAAATTAATTATTATTATAATTACTATTATAATTATTACAATTATCATTATTATCATTTTAAAATTCTGGCCCATAATTCAACTTATAATTTGTGAAGCTTAAACAATGCCAAACTAGGGGAAATGACTAGTTTTCACGACTCCCCCCCCCCCCCCCCCCCCGGAGGTTGATTCATCACTGATCTAAAATTAATTTCGATTTAAAATATCTTTGAAATTCACTTTTGGCTTAAAACTGATGTACGTGAGCTGTTTCATCGAATAAAATTTAGAATCGATCTTGATAAATTTTAGGTTAAATGTAAAGGGCTCTGTGATCAAGGCTAGTCGATGTTACTTAGGGCAACCACAAAAATGCGTCGCTAAACTACTGCAAGAGAGGTCCTCAAAAAGTGAGTTAATTTCATTTTCTTCTAAAATATTCATTCTGTTGAAAACAAATTGTTATTTTGGTGGAAGGAAAGTATTCTTCTCATTTTTAACCAAACGATATTTTGAAAAAAATATCAATAATAGGGTCTAACGTTAGCATTTCCCAACTGAGCTAGATAATCTAAGTAAGAATAAGATTGACGAATTGCACCGGTTCATGCATTTCCGTCCCATTCATATAAATTCATGCATGTCCAACTCTAGGCCCCTACTCCCTAGTACTTGTCTAATGACGTTGATTATTTGGTTAGGACAGGTCCAAATTCATCAAGAAATATAGTTTATTCTTGCATTTGATAACAAATAAGTCAACCACGGCTTTATAAGTCATCGCGTTGTATGGTTGCTGATAAATTTAGTGGCAGTGCTTATAACTGAGATTTAGGCTAGGCCTATAGAACTTAGTCTATAGGTCTAGATCTATCTAGACTCTAGATCTAGATCTAGTCTAGATTTAGTAAGAACTTAGATTCCAAATCTAGACTCTAGGTCTAGCCTACTTTGTTTTGTTTTTTGCCAGTAGGCAGTGCGGTGGCCTTTGTTTTATGATGATAACCAGTTAACAGGTCATTGTGTTAACGTTAACATTTTATGAAAGAAAATTGGTATTCACAGTTTCAGACCCAAGACCAAGTTAGATCTTGATTAAGATTAAGAATAAGATCTTAATATAGATTTAGTCTAGGGTCTACATGATATTGCTAGATATTAGATATAGGGTAGAAATATGTAGACCTAGTCTCTACACTGCACCTTTTGTGCAGGACTAACTAAGATACATCAGAACTTAGAGTTAGATCTAGTCCCTTAGTCCTAGATCTAGACTAGATTCTACTTGTATTTGTGTGAGATCTAAATTAACAGGAGTTAGATCTTGTCTACATCTAACTGTAACAAGTTAGATTTTAGACTAGATGTAAAATGTTATGTACAGTGGTAGGCTCATGTATTGAGCTCTATATTTTGTTTTTCTTCATTTCTTTTTTCTTTTAGAGTCAGAGATGGAGTGGACATGGACTCTTGAGTCATATCCAAGAAATAGACCTCTATAGTCTTCAACGTCTCTCATCCTACCTCTGCCCCGAGGAAAGGATATGGATCTGCATAATGTAATCTGGTTCAAGGTGCACTGCAAGATCCTACCATACTAAGTGGCCTTTTGATGTGATTATCTTAGCAAAGTTTGAACACCGACATGAAATAAGGGTGAGGTTCTTTTTCTTCTTCATGTTCTAAACCTACATAGAAATAAAGAACTAACTTTTTGTTCAGTTTATAGTCTTTTATATTCATTTATGATAAAGGGTTTAGATACCGAATATTGGATTTTACAATAACAAACTGAAAGTGTTGTGTTCTTAATCTAATAGGAAGCCAACCATGACAGGTCAAAAACATAGATACTTGATCAGCCAGATTCTGATCAATTGTGCATAGAATAGGGCAACAGTGAGAGTTTAAAGATGTGATTGAACAAACTCTAATGAACATATGCATGATGTAAGCTGCTATCTTTGTTATATACCATTGTATCTCTTTTCCTTCTATTCCCCAGAGGGTAGTTTTAATCAATCCCTGTACAATAGGGTTCGGTTTCAGATCAGAGTAACCATGATTAAGATTTGACTGTTGTAGTTTGATATTACAAATAAAAGCTCTAGTTCAAGATCAAGATTTTAAAGAAATGTTTGGGATCATAGTCAAAAGCAAGATAAGTCCAAACTGTGTATCAAAAAGAAAAGTTTCCACATTACACGAGTTCACCTTGACATATAATGGGTTGGACCAAAAATATTTTAATTACAATTAGAATCACTGATGGAAATATGCTTTTGTTTAGTTGAACACATTAGATTAGGTAAAGTGACAACTATCTTTCTGAGAAATATAATTGCACTCTCCGTTTTAAATCTTAGGTTGCAAAGTAAAGAGCTGTAGCATCTACATAAACTGCAAAACTCATGGCACCTGGACTTTCATACCTAAGGTCTTATTCATCTCTTCAAGTTGAAAAGGTAAGGGTTTCAGTTTACCGGTAAACATAATTGATCGTATTAGTATGTTTTGTGCCTGTCATCATTGCCATGTCCCTACAGTAATGAAAGAGAAAAAAAAAACGAAAGAGTAAGTACAGTTTCCATAGTCCTTGTTAGAGATCTAATTCAGATCTTACCCAATCTATTGTATAAAACATACACAAATGGTTATGAGATTTTTCTTTTCCAAAGCCTAAAAATAAATTATTTATTATTTTTTCTTAACTTGAACTGCTTTTGTATCAATATTTTCAAAGAATGTTTTATATCATTCTACTTTATTCATTTCCAATCAAAGAAATTGACATGATCAGAAATACAAAAGTTGTAGAAAGATTGAACAATTACACTAGTAGTTATTAATTGTTTTATTGCATAACTGTTTATTCCAGATTCTAGACTGCAGAGCCTGAATTCCCTGCAACATTATGCTTCATGTGGAACATCAGCCAGCCTACAGATACAAGCTCCCTTTCCAGCTCTAAGCAAGAGGGACCATAATGCTAAACAGTTCGTGGACATGTCGCTTTTTTCAACTACGACTTCCATTGAAACAGATTTTCAAATTAATTCATCTGAAGGTATTAAATATGCTTCAGTCAAGGTACCATCAGTTTGCCATCAGTTTGCCATGAGTATGAGATTACTGGTTTCATAAGAATTCATCAAGTAAGGTCTAAAGGAAATAAGATTTTCAATGATACTCCCAAGAATTCTATTATTTAAATAGAATGTCATAATCTTGCAGAAGAAAGAGCAAAATACTAGTTATAGTTGAAGGATAAAACTACAGTCATTATCCATATAAAGTTAGCGCTGCTATTTCAGCCTGCACTTTCGAGAAATATGTTGTTATTAAAGGGTTGTTGCTGAATTTAAAATCTATGATTCTGTCATGGAGGTTTACTGTTTTTAAACTTACTTTACTTAGACAAATCCGTTCATGGTGATGAATCTTAAAATATCAAATTGGAAATTCCAAAGAGGCAAATTAATCTAAGCAGCAGTGGACCAATTTGAGGGCCCGTTTAGAACTGTTCCTAGAGGTTCTGTTGGCATGACCATGTGTTGATAATTACCTGTCGATATCTCAATTGTATATTCTTATCAATTGCCAAAGAACAAATTCAAAAGAAACAACTTAATATTATAATTGCAGTGAAAACAGATTTTTTTTCCAGCAGGAAATGATATATCAACTCGGATTAGTATTGTCCTTAGAAAATGTTCAAATCTGATTGAGAAAATCTATAATTAACTTCATAAAGACAAACTGGTGTATCATGAAAACACATTTTTACAAACTGCATGACCTCACATGAGAATGTGTATATGCCTTAGATTAACAACCATATAGGTAAGACCAATCTTTAGCACACATGTTATTCCTTTAATCTCCATCAAATTACACCGAGAAGACAGTGGCATTTATTAGCTGCAATGGCTTACAACTGGCTGTATGTCATGAAAGGATTTTTTCCAGGCGAGAAGGGAAATGTACTACTCAAAGGAAATGTACTACTCTAAGGTCAATTAGAGGTAGCCAAGCGTAGGATGCATTATTGCATACATTTACATTTAACACACACAGTATATGGGGGTTTTGATATGCATGATTTTGGGTTGGCTATTTAATGTAGAGAGAAATAGAAATAGCTGGATACCAAGGAGGTTTTGAATGTGAAGGACCTGGCAAAGAAAGGGTAAAGGGAAGTTGCTGTAGAATGATGGGCAGAACCCTTCAAGTCAGTGCTACGGTGCAGACGTTTAATGCACGAGGTAGTTTTATTTAGTGGCAGAAACATTATTCTTGAGAAAGACTTTTTACGTCTGGGCGAGATAAGCTGTCAAGTCGGCGGGGATTCTACGCAGTCTAGAGACTGGCCAAGCGACCAGGACCAGGAGGGACTCACGAGATGGGAGCTGCACTGTTACAAAGTTATGTTCCATTAAATTGTTTATGTGCTGTTGATTTTTTTTGACGCCACGATTTGTTGGCTGAATATTAAACCTTTATTTAAACTTATACAATTGTGTTCTGGTGTGGTTTTCTGATGAGGTAGCAGTGTAAATAATTAAAAGAAAGTCACTCACGTGACACTGTACTTCAATAGCAGTACTTTCATTTGTGTCATTGAAAATGTTTTTATTGTATCCCTTGAATTAATTTGCTATTGCTCAACATATACAAAGTGTAGATTTTCGTGCATTCAAGCAAAATAAAAACGATTATACTTTAAAGCCTGAAAAATCTGTGTGAATTATATTTTCTATTTAAGCAATGTACTGTTTTACATTTAAAAAGAAAAAATGGAGTTGGGGAAAAGAATGAATGGATGAGATTGGACGCTAACGCATGGTAGTTAGCATGAATTGATGTGATTTAGTGATGGTGTGTTTGTTTGATGGGGAGTATTCAAATAACCTAGCAAAGCTTTTATATAGTTTTACTTTATTCATTTATTCCTTTGTTCCCTTTTTCTTTTCTAGTTTCCTTTTTTTGTGGGGGGGGGGGGATGAAACGAGTTGAAATGGGAGTGTGGTTGTGTGTTAATGGGGGTGGGGGTGGGGGTGGGAGAGAGATTATATGAATAGAGTAAGGGCACAAATATAAATAAATATGGTAATTAATTGTCCCTAATTGGCGATTATGTTTGTACAGAATTCTCCATTTTCCGATACATAACCTAATTGAAGTTAGCCGTCATTCACGCCTTTCAAGCAAGTCAATGCTGAACATATCGGATTAATAGTAGGATATTTTTTTCTTCCGTTTTCTTTTGAACAGGGTTACTCTCTCAGTATTAAATGTGATTTCTGAGAGGCCCTGTACAAATTTTATGTTAAAAATACAGAGGAAATTGAACAACGTTGAAATAGGTATTAAATCGTTCATGGGAAGAAAACAAATCAGATATACAGTGCGTCCCAGAAAAAATGAAACCGAGAATTATCGGTGTTTTATTATAACTTAATCAAAATTACAATTAATAAATGACACATATTTGTAAAACTTCGATCCTCCTCTTTCATTTGATGCAACTCATATGCATATTTCACTCATGAGTGATTGAAAACAATTTGAAGAGAGGAAACCAAAAAGCCTTTTGGCGGGCGGTATCTGAATTTCAAAGAGAAAATCACATTTCTGGGAATTTCATTTTCTTTCCTTTCATATGACACTTCCATCAGGAAAAAATGAGCCAGGAATAACAAAGTTCTGTTTGTTTAAGTAATGCTTGCATTTCCATAATTTGATTAAACGAGTTCCTTTTCACTGGCTGCCTGCCGTAGCAATAAACAGATTTGATAAAAGACTTAACTCCGTTTCGTTGACGATCAGCCATGCACAAATAAGACGAAAGACTTGATGCATGGCTGATCGTCAACGAAATGGAGGAGGATCTAAGCTTTACAAATATGTGTCATTTATTAATTATAATTTTGATTAAGTTATGATAAAACGTCGATATTTCTCGGTTTCGTTTTTTTCTGGGACACACTTTATAAATCCCAACATGAAAATGCTAATAGTAGCTTAGTTTACGCATTATCTGTCTGTTTCTATTTCTTAATTTCTTTGTTCCTTGTATGTCTCTCTACTATATATTTTCCCCTCTCTCTCTTTCTCTACCTACCCCCCCCCCTTTTTTTAATCGCTCTCTCTTTCTCTCTCATTCTCTTTCTGATTCTGTCTCTGTACTCTAACAGCCAACGTACATAAAACCTTTATCACTCTGTTTTCTGAACATAGGTTAATCGACTGTGGAACAAGAGAGGGCGGCAGACTGGAATCCCATCTCAAAGGTCTTGAACAAGCATCACCAATAGGCAGCCTCTATGTGTGGCTTAGCCATGTAAGTATTGCTCCATATTGTATGCACTGTACACTTTCACTATTTCTCATTTACATCTGTATAACAATCGCTTTGATGCTAATATTGTTCAGTATTGTCATTTTTGATATCTAATTTCTAAATTTATTTACATGTTTAGGCCTATTTTATTTGTTAACAATTCATTTCTGTTATATTTTTTCTGCAAAATTATTTCCTTCTGCTTCATAAGTTTTTCAAACTTTTTCTTTTTCTTTTGAGTTCTCGTATCAGATTCTTTTGTCTCTGTCCCGGATCTCTGTCTTTATTGTTGTTGATGATTGTTATCCCATTTCCTAGACACCAAATGCTCAACAGAATATCGAAACGTTGCTAAATGACTTAATTCATAATTCTTCTCTCCCATGTGTTCCTATGATATTTGTACACGAACTTCACTTTGTTTCTTCTGTCTAGATTTGCACTTCAACATGTTATCAAATATTATCTTTGTTTTCGGTGTTGTTTCGGTGGTACGACTTTCAGTATGATTTATTATCTTTATTCCTTGCATGAAATTGAGATTGGTTATTTCTTTAATCACTTCATTGCTGGCTCTTTTTTCGGGGGGGAGGGGGGGGGGGGGGGCTGCCACTATCGTTATACCATGAGCTCATTCACTTAACCTTATTTTTTTTTTTTTGTGGTTCATTTTCATTTTTAAATCTTTTCCATTTAATTGTTATTTTCAGTTGTGCTACCATTCTTAAACCATTTCTTAATTCTACCATAGTTATTTCTGAGTTTAATGTTTTATGTTTTTGAATATTGCCCCCTCCGCCATTTTGCTCTCCGTTTGACTCTTTCTCTCTATGTGGGGCGTTCTTTATCTGCAACAAAGTCGGCGCTCAATGGGAGGGGGCAAAATGCCCATATTTCTTTCAAGTACACCAGAAGTGCTTCCTTTTACGGGAGAAAAGTGTTAATTTGCATTGTGCCGCTCTTCTTTTTTAAAATGTCCCTTCTCCTTTTATTATGTCCCCCTCGTCAAATTTGCAAGGTGCCTTTTACTTTGACAAATGAACCTTTTCCTTTCTTATGAATTCCTCTTTCCCGTTTTTATAACTGCCCATTTTCATCTGTAATGTATGCCTTTTTTAAACAACTGAATGATTGAGGTTTATTGAGAACATACCATAATCTTAATCATATAACTAACTTGACATGGATAACAATAGCAGTCATGCACGTGTTTACAAACAAATGTATGCAAAGTGTCAAAAGGATATATATATATATATATATATATACATATATATATATATATATATATATATATATATATATATTGGATAAGGCAGACTAATGGAGCATGGTTGCAACTCCAAGTTTCACGCCTTGCGAGCGATCATCAGGCAACTGATAGCATGATCATCAGGCAACTGATAGCATGATTACTCTACAATCTACAATACGTATTGTAGATTGTAGAGTAATCATGCTATCAGTTGCCTGATGATCGCTCGCAAGGCGTGAAACTCGGAGTTGCAACCATGCTCCATTAGTCTGCCTTATCCAATATATATTTTGCTCTGCCCATAAGCATTGAGCACTGTACGGAGGTATAGACCAAATCTAAGTATATAAATATATATGTATATATATATATATATATTGACCATGCAAATTATTCAGCATTAATGAGAAAGAGAAGCAGCGAAAGGTAAAGGAGAGAAGATATTAGTAGAAGAGCAGATAACAGAACTAAGCAGAGTGACCGAGAAAGGAAAAGAGTTAGGTAGAAGAGGGTTGATAGGAGAGGGTATGTACACTATAGGTTAATTCATTGGTCATAGCTGTTATACATTACATATCTGTCTTTACACGGAATATAATGTATATAACAGGCGAGGTATTGCAACAGTTTTTGAATACTGAATAGGAATGAAATGAACATAATAGGTTGAAGGAAGAACAGGAATATTAGAAGCGGAAAGAGGGAAACAAGCAAAGGAATATAATGAGACAAAGGAGAAAACGACAAGGGAGAAGAATCTGGAGCGAGCGAGCGAGAGAGAGAGAGAGAGAGAGAGAGAGAGGGAAAGAGAGAGAAAAAATGTAGGTAAGAAGTATTGGTATATCATAGGAATAAATAGTTTGCTATGTTATTTTTCATTCATAATTTTGCTACGTACAAAGAATATATAAACAAGATACATTAATGTAACATGAATTGTTCAAGTAATGTAACATTGAATTAGAGTTAAGAAGATAAATGGGGAGAAGGAGGGGAGGAGGAGAGGAAAAACAGAA